CCCAGATTGCCATCACTAGGCACAGAGGCTAGGCTTGGGACCTGATCCCGCCCTTCTCTTTACCACAACACGTTCCCTTCCGTCTGTGCGATCACAGCTTCCTGCAGCCAGAGCAGAGTCCGACTTGTCCTCCCGGTCTGCCAGCCACACCTTTCTCACCTGGGACCGCCACCCTGAAGGGAGAGAGTTCCTCCTGAACTCTGCATCCCTCACCTCCAGCTTCCCAGGGACCCCTGCAGGCCTTACCTCCATGGCGGGCTCCTGGCGGCTCCTGGCCAAGGCATCCTCTTCCTCATCCTCCATGGTGGCCGGGACAAGTGTGACAAGAAGGAAATGAGCTTAGGGACTTCCCGGCTGGTGGTGGCCTTAATCCGGGATGGACAACACTCATTGGCTTAGGGATTTCAGTCCACTCCTGGAGGAAGGGGGAGAGGAGGTCCACCGCCCGGCCCTTTCCCAGGACAGCCGCCCTGGAATGCCACTAGAATCACAGAATGGGAGGACTGGAAGGGACCCAACGAGTCATCTAGTCCAACCCCCTGCAGCGCAGGAAACCTAGCCCCACGGTTTAATGGGTCGTGGTTTTCGATTTGCATTTCTGTTCTGGCTAACTGCAAGGCTTTCTTTTTGGCTCTTCCCAAAGCAGGTTTCAGAGCCGGGCTGCTGCTGGATCAAGCCAAAGGGTCCAGCACCCTTTTCTCTTTTTTTAAAGATATTTATTGAAATTTTCACCTTATTACATTAAAAAATCAAAAAACAAAAAAGTTAAAAACACATAAAGTTTACAGTCCTTATTTTCAGTAACATATTTCCCAGGCTTCCCCACACCTCCCCTTCTTGTATTCCAATTCAAATTATTAGTTCAACAAGTTCTTGTCCCCAATTCTTGACCTTTTTAAATTTACCGTAATTCATTTTAGAAAAACCAATTTTAACTTATAAACATCTGTCAGGGGTTCAGGAGCAGAGGCGAGGGCAAGGGAGGAAACAGAGAGCGAGGGGGAGGAGTCCGAAGAAAGGATGAGTGATGACGACGACCCGAGATCTCCGAGTCTTTCCAGTGAATCGGAAGATTCACAGAAAGGAGCGCCAGTGGCCAGAGCAAAGGGGGGGGCCTAGGGGGACACCCCAGGAGGAAGGGACCAGCGGGGGTTCAGAGGGCAGCAGTTGGAAATTGGGGCCAGCGTCCCCACCAGAGCGCAGTGGAGAGGAAGGACGTCAGGGATCGAGCCCTGGCAGCTCGCAGCAGGGAGGAGGGCATGAGTCAGGAGTGACCACACCCCCATCGGGGAGCGAAGAAACGGTCAAGCGGAAAGTGGAAGGCTGGGCGCGCGCGCCAAGTTCAAATGCACGCAAAGGCGGCGCAGTAAGCAGCCCGGAAAGGGAGCCAGGTCTTAAAGCCCGACGCAAGGAGACAGGAGGGTCCGGGGGGTCAGCGTCAGAGGAGTCCCGGAGGGAGGAGACCACGGGGGGCAGAGGGACCCAGAGAAGGACGGTCAGGCGGAAAAGGTGGAGTAAGGCGAGGATATTAAGTTGGTGTACGAGGGGCGGAGATTCAGACGGAGCTTCGCCGGTCTAGCCATAAGACGTAGAGTTGCACGCAGCAGCTTGGAAATGGAAACTGTAACTCAATAAAGACTTTTATAAAGCGAACGCTGGCTAGCGTGATCCTCTGTGAGCTGGGATCGGGGAGCAGCTCTGACAACATCAATATTTGTACATCAGTGCACATTCTTAAAACCTTTTTCTAAAGTCGACCCAAATTCCCTTCCACGAATTCCCCAATTTTCATACTAATAGCAAAACAAAATAAAAAAAGGAACAGAATATAATTGTATGCCCTTTGGATTCCCAAACCCCACCCCACCCCTTTCCCGGTTTTGATCCCCAACAAATGTCCATCAGTCTTAGTCTACTATCAGCCTGGAGACCTCACGTCCGAGGCTCTTAATTCTCTCTCAATTCCTCTCTGCCGGTTTTTTTGATAGTCCTTAGTGTTAAACACCAAGTCTCGGAGAAGCTCTATCCCAATAGGGACCATGTTTCTTCCAGCCAGGCCTCCATACTTAAAAGTGGAGCCCGAATCTTGTTTCTTACTCCTTTTAAGTCCAAATGTCCCAAAAGCTCCAACTTCCACCTTAATCAAATTTGTAATCCATAGGTCTTCAGATCTCAACATAAGGAGATCTCTCCATTCTTCAATCTCCAATTCACACCAAATTTTCATCATCCAGTGCTTATTTTCCTTTGTAACCATCATGTCAGGCCTCTGGCTCTCCTTTGTCATTTGCAACATTACATCTCCCCCTTCCTTTTCTCTTTTCTCTTTTTCCACACTCTCAAATCTCTCAAGTTTCTCTTCTTGTCCAGCTGCATGGGCTTCCTGAGTCAAATCCTTATCAAATTCAATGAGTTTGTTTACTGTTAAATCCAGAGTTGCAACATTGGTAGCCAAAACATCAATTTGGCCTTGTAACTTTCCCAAGAGAAGAAACACTCTGTCCATTTTAGCTTGGGTTTTTCCTCCTTCAGCCATTCTTGTAATGTCCCAAAACCCCCTCTAGAGGGATTTTGGTTACTTATCTTCCTTCCAGTTCAAATCCAAAAGTCAAGTTAGTTTATATCAGTTCTTCCTTGTTTTCAACAAAATAACCAAATTGTAGCAAATATATCCAGCAGAGACAGAGTTCTCTTTTTCCTTCTTGACAGCTAATTTGACAGCTTTCAAACTCTTCTATATCTCCTCAACAGGCTCTCTCGCGGATCACTCCCGGGTCCGGGGGGGTGGCACTTCAGCTCTCAAAATTAGCTCTTATCCTCCAGTAAAATTACTTATACTGCCAAATCGTGAAATTAATATCTTTTACTCAATAAAGAAGAAGACGTTCTCTCGACCTTAGTTAGTTAGTCCTTGCTTTAAGTTATTTACAAGACGGGGAGACGGACTTCCTTTTTGCACCTTCCCCGATCATGCCTAATTCAAAAAAAAAAATCCTTGCAAATCCAATTTCCGTACTACTCACGGGTTGTTGCTTTTAAAGTCCAATTGTTCAAAGGAAGAAGAAGAAGAAGAAGAGTTTTGATTTGATATCCCGCCTTTCACTCCCTTTAAGGAGTCTCAAAGCGGCTAACATTCTCCTTTCTCTTCCTCCCCCACAACAAACACTCTGTGAGGTGAGTGGGGCTGAGAGACTTCAAGGAAGCGTGACTGGCCCAAGGTCACCCAGCAGCTGCATGTGGAGGAGCGGAGACGCGAACCCGGTTCCCCAGATTAGCAGACTACCGCTCTTAACCACTACACCATACTGGCTCTCCGGTCAGCGCTCTCCGACCATGGCACGCAGCTTCACTCCGCAGGAGGAGAAGTCGACTCTCAGCACCACGCCACTCACCCCGTCCCCCGTTCCGTAGCCTTTAAAAAGGCTCCTTCGCGGGTTGGGGGGGCGCAAATGGTGCCCGCCGAGTCACCAGGTTCACAGGCTGCAGCGCCTGTGATTTCTAGGGGTCCCCGCGTTGCTGCAGCGGCAAGACCCAGCTCCTGCAGAGCCGATTCCCTCCGGAGCTCGGAGGGAATCCGCCATTAGCCGATGGCGCTAACCCGGAAGTCCTCCCAGCACCCTTTTCTCAAAGGGGCAGAACAGATGCCCCCAATGGAGCCCACAAACAGGACCTGGGTGCAGCAGCAACTCTCTTCCCACATTAACTGGTGTTCAGAGGCATCGTGCGGCAGATCCCAGTGCCTGAACTGCCTTTGAACAACGGAGGCAGAGAGCACTGAGAAGAGGTGAAGCTCAAAGTCTCCTAGACAAAATAAAAACTGGCAAGTCGCCAGGTCTGGATGGAATCCACCAGAGAGTTCCCAAACATCTTGAAGGTGAAATTGCTGACCTTCTAATGAAAGGACTGGAAAGTAGCCAATGTAACACCAGTTTTTTAAATGGGATGAGGGGGGGAGGACCTGGGAAATTGCAGGCTGCTTAGCTTAATTTCAGTCTTGGAAAAACTGGCAGAAAGTATTGTTGAAGATAAAATAACCAAGCATATAGAAGAACAAGCCCTACTGTGAAGCAGAGCTAGCATGGCTTCTGCAAAGGCAAGTCCTGTCTTATGAACCTTTCATTGAGAGTGTCAGAAAGCATAGAGATAGGCTGCTCAGTCACCCAGCTGGTTGGGCAGAGCCCGCGGGTCCCTGCGGAATAAAGGAAGGAGTCCAGCCACCAATGAGCAAATCGCAAATCGCTGTAGATAGACCAAAGTTGATTGCGCAATAGGTTCAAAGAGCAAATTTGAACCCCGAGGATGGGGTGACAAAGACTTTTAAAACTTTCCCACCACATCCCAGAATACAGTTCCTACAGCATCATTGCCACATCACTGACATGTCACAAAAGGGGAGGGGTCAACCTTGGCAAACAGGTCCAGACAAGTCCTTGGTACCAGATTAGCATAAGCAGACATGGGAGGGCAAGACTCAGGTATAAGATGAGCATAGACAAAGATGTCTGAAGTGCCCACCACCCAAAAGTACAATAGAAGTTCCTTTGCATGTCTGGAGCCTGAGGCGAGTCAGGTGATGAGATTTGGCTTCCTTCGGCTAACAATGAGCCCAGCAATTGTCACCTCTGAGAACTTCCTGGAGTCCTTTGCAAGGGGAAAATAGCTTTGGAATGGGGGGGAACTGGGAAAGGAGGTGATTTTATATTATTTTTCAAGCTAGGTGACTTCCCTGAGCTGTCAAGTTGGAAGGATAATTCAGGCATAATATTTGTAATATTTAACTTTAAAGATGTATATGAGACGTTATATATATAAAGATATATATGAGACGTTAGAATTTCTCTAACAAGAGACTGGCTTCCGTGTAAGGAAAAGAGCCGGGTGAGCTTGCCCTCTGCCAAGATGGCGCCCGGGGTGACTTTCCCTCGACCAAGATGGCGCCCGCCCCTCCGCTTCCGGAAGAAAGGCGTCACTTCCTACGGGCGCGCCTTCCGTTTCCGGGCGGAAGCGGGCGGCGGCGGGCGGGAGGAGCGGCGAGATGCCCCACGCGCGTCCGGAAGAGGCTGCGCCCCGCCCGGGCTGCCCGAGGGAGGCTGGTACGGGGCGGGGAGGCCGGGCTGGGGGGGCCGGGCTGGGGGGGGGCGCGGGCCAGGCTCTGACTTTCCCCTTCCCCGCAGGTCCGGCTCCGGGAGACGCCCGGGACCCCCTCGAGGAGGACTGGCAGGTGCGTGGCCGGGAAGCGGGGGGGGGCGGGGAGGGAGGGGGAGGGAGGGAGGGGAGACCCCCCCCGCCCCGCTCACTCCCCCCTTCTCCCCCCAGCAGGTGATGGCGCAGCGGGTGGCGGATCACATGCCCTTCTTCCTCCACGAAGCCAACGCGGAGGCGGGACTGCTTTGCGCAGGTGAGGCGGGGGGGGGGCGATGCCCCACTCCAGGCCCGCAGGTGCACTGGGCCTGCTGGGACGGGGCGGGGGGGGCGCATGCAAACGTGTAGCAGCAGCATTTCATTTGTATGCTGCCTTCCCATAGTTGAATAATTCTTCTTATTAGTAGTACAGTGGTACCTCAGGTTACAGACGCTTCAGGTTACAGACTCCGCTAACCCAGAAATAGTGCTTCAGGTTAAGAACTTTGCTTCAGGTTGAGAACAGAAATCATGTGGCAGCAGCGGGAGGCCCCATTAGCTAAAGTGGTACCTCCGGTTAAGAACAGTTTCAGGTTAAGAACGGACCTCCAGAATGAATTAAGTACTTAACCCGAGGTACCACTCTAGTACTTATACGCTGTGGTCTAAACCCCTGAGCCTCTTGGGCTTGCCAAGGTTGGCAGTTCGAATCCCCGCAATGACGGGGTGAGCTCCCGTTGCTCACTCCCTGCTCCTGCCAACCTAGCCGTTTGAAAGCACTCCAAAAAAAGTGCAAGTAGATAAATAGGTACCGCTCCGGCGGGAAGGTAAACGGCGTTTCCGTGTGGTGCTCTGGTTCGCCAGAAGCAGTTTAGTCCTGCTGGTCACATGACCCGGAAGCCGGCTCCCTCGGCCAATAAAGCGAGATGAGCGCCGCAACCCCAGAGTCGGCCACGACTGGACCTAATGGTCAGGGGTCCCTTTACCTTTACTTATACCCTGCCTTTCTGGCTGTGTTTCCCCAGCCACTCTGGGCGGCTTCCAACAAAAGATTAAAAATACATTAAAACACCAGTCATTTAAAACTTCTCTAAACTGGGCTGCCTTCAGGTGTCTTCTAAACATCAGGTGGTTGTTTATTTTCTTGACATATGGTGGGAGGGCGTTCCACAGGGCGGGCGCCACCACCAAGAAGGCCCTCTGCCTGGTTCCCTGTAGCCTCACTTCTCGCAGGGAGGGAACCGCCAGAAGGCCCTCGGAGCTGGACCTCAGTGTCCAGGCTGAACGATGGGGGTGGAGACGCTCCTTCAGGTCTACTGGGCCGGTTCCCGCCGTCGCACGTGCCAGTTGAAACCATGCTCAAAGCGGCTTACAACATGGCAAGGTTTACACAAGCACAAGCGTAACAAAAGTCACAAACAAGAAATAAAACACATCAAAAAGTACATTATGAAATGGAAACAATTTACACATAAATCATAAGATGCAACAATAAGAGCAATAGCAGCAACAACCTCTCCCAACCCCCTGTAAACAATACTCCTAGATATAGGGGGTTGGGCTAGATGACCCCTGGGAGTCCCTTCCAACTACAGTTCTCGGATTCTAGGATATACACACAGATATTGCACAGAGGGGGCGGAGAGGCAAATGGTGTGAGTTGCTGAGTCCTGAAGGCACTGTCAAGGGAGCGCATCAAAGCAAATGACAAACGCCCCTTGCAAACCATGGGTGGGTTTAATGAACGGAGGGGGCACAAGGTTGCCCATGGAAGCTCTATGCCCCTGAGCACCAGTTTCTGGGAATCGCAAGCGTTGCGCTCAGGTTCCTGCTGGTGCGCTCCCCTTTGGGGCATCTGGTTGGCCCCCCTGAGAGCGGGATGCTGGACTAGAGAGCCCATTGGTCTGACCCCACAGGCTTCCGCATCAGGATGCCTCTGCTCTGCTGAGACGGGTGCTTGGGGCCTGCCCCACAGCTGCCACATTTTGTCCCAGAAGCTCACCAGAGGCCAAGGCGAAGCCTATTTCAGAAGTCCTGGCTTCAGACCTGGCCATAACAGCAGAGACCAAGTCGGGGCTAGCTCTTGCCGCTCTAGGCTGGACCAGGGCACAAGAGGGCATGTCTTTGTGTGCCTGCCCTGCCCGCTTCTTTCTCGGCAACGGTGCCCCTTTCCTTTCTCTGCTGGGTATTTCCCCCAGGCCACGGCCAGGGTACGTCAGCTGGGTTACTGCCTGCTCTCCAAAAGAGCTCACGCCCACTGTGTGGTCTCTCTTCAGATGTGGACAACAGGCCTTGCTGGTTTTGCGCGGCTGCAGCCAATGATGACTACAGTGACGATGATTGGGGGAGCGACGAGGAGGAACTGGAGGAAGAGAGGGCCCAGAATGCCAGCCCAGCCACATTCTGTGGCTTCAAGAAATCCTTCCTTTGCAAGCCGCCTGCCTTTGCCCTGCCAGCAAGCAGCAGCAGTAAAGACAGCCCTCTGCTGAGCATTTCTCTGCCCCAGAAGCAGCTGCTCACAGCTGAGGTGAGGCCTGCAGCCAGGGCCTGGTCACTCTCCTCCAGCCTTGCCTGCTTCGGGGCAGCTGTTTCTTGACTTCCTGCAACCCCATGGCTCTTGCCTCATGCTCTGGATTTCACCCTTAGCTGCCGACTTCTCTTAAAGGAATTGGGGCGGGGGCGTTCCATCCCCTTTCCTTTTCTGTCCTTTCTATCTTTGCTGCCTGCCAGACCAAACAGCACTTCCTGAAAATAATAATATTATTATTATTATTATTTATACCTTTCCTATCTGGCTGGGTTTCCTCAGCCACTCTGGGTGGCTCCCAACCGAATATTAAAACAGTATTAAACATTAAAAACTTCCCCAAACAGGGCTGCTGCCATGAAGCCCGTGCTTGAATTCTGTCCTGCCTTTTTGGGGGGAGCCTCAGTGCATGCTGGGACAGGTAAGGACAGCGATGTGTGTCTGTGCACACCTGCTTGACTATCCTGAAAGGTCTCGCTGTCCTGCTCTTTCTCAGGAAGCGGCGAGGAATGCAGCAGAGTTGGTTGCTGAAGAGGAGCGCATCAAGAAGAAGGCTGAGAAGAAGAGGATGAAGAAGAAGGTGCTTGCCTCTGTGTGATCCGCGTGGTGGGGGGGCCTCCGCTGGGGGAGAGGCGGTCCTTGTGCCTCCATGTCCGTCCCTTGGCCCCATTGCGTGTGCTGCTTTCTCTTTCCAGAGGCAGAAGGACCGGAAGAAGCAGGAAAAGCGAGAGCAGGAGCTGATGGCCAAGAGCATAGCTGAGGCAGTGAGTGGCCACTGGGGGAGTCTGCACGTTTGCCCATCTGCCACGGGCGATGTACAGCCCTTTCAGAGCGTTGCCGTGTTGCTTGCCGGCAGGTGCAGGTTGCTCAGTTAAAGTGGGTTTGCAGCGTCACACAACCGCCCTGCAGGCAAACTGCAATGTTGTTGTTGTCGTTTAGTCGTGTCCGACTCTTCGTGACCCCATGGACCAGAGCACGCCAGGCACCTCTGTCCTCCACTACCTCCCGCACTGCAATGAGGGCTCAGGAAGAAACCCTTCTCCTCACCTTGAACCTTTGTGCTGCTTCCAGGCTGGCAAAATGGGCCACAGTTAGCGAAGCTCATTGGCAAGCGAGGGCCTTGTCTTTAGCATAGAGCTCCAAAGTCCAAAGGGTTGGCCTGGGCAGTGGTGGGTTGTACAGTAGGTCCTGCTGCAGAAAACCCCTTGGTTTTGCCCCAGAGGCAGGTGGCTCCTTGCTGCCCTCACAGGCTGCGTCTCTCCTTGTGCAGGATGAGTATTTGAACAGCAGCAGCAGTGGTGTGCAAGGTTCTGCCTGCCTGGCTGCCATTCCGAGTGCCTTGGGACCGGCCCGGCCCGATTCAGAGGAGAGCTCCACCCAGGACCTCAGTGAGAACATGGCTTCCCCGGGCAGGAGTCCCAGCAGGAGCACAGAGGAGGAAACGGAGGCAAGTGGGACCCATACACTCCTCTGCCCCTGGGAGGGAGACAGGCTCAGCAAGGGGGGGGGGGTGAAGGGGAAGAGGGAGCCTGTGGGTCTGGGAGAACAACCCAGCCCCACAAGTTGGGCAGGCAACCTGCTGCCGTCCCTGAAGTTCTCTTCAGCACAGCTGGGGCTTGTCTGCGCTTCTTGTTGGTTGCGCATCAGGACAGGCAATTTAGGGAGAAATTCCCTGTGAGGAAAAAATGTGTATGGTGGGGGTGGAATAATATTTCTTCCCTTGTGTGCAGTGGTCCCAGTATGGCCCAACCTCTAACAGCAGCTATTTTCTTTCTACATTCTTTGGAAAGAAGAAACCGGGCAGAACTTGTTTTCTCATAACAACAACAATTTTATTATTTATAGGCTGCCCATTTGAGTGGGTTGCTCCGGCCACTCTGAGTGGCTCCCAACGAAATAATTAAAACACAATAAAACACCAAACGTTAAGATACAGGGCTGCCTTCAGATGTCTTCTAGAAGTCAAAGAGTTCTGTATTTCCTTGGCATCTGATGGGAAGGCGTTCTGCCCAATTCCCTGTAACCTCCCTGTTCTGCGCCTTGGCTTGACGCAGGCCTGCGTATGGAGGGTCAGGGGGCAGAGAGAGGCTGCTTTGATTTGTGGCTCTGCCCATCCCAGCCCCATGGGACAGGAAGCAGCCTTTCCATGTGGGGCCTGTTTGGTGCGGGGAGGAGGCATTTGTCACCTGGCTTCTCTTTGGAGAAGTGCTCTTTGATAGGGAAGGTGTTTGAGAGATTCAGGACGTGGCCCAAGAGTTGCTCTTTCCTGTCTCTCGCCTGCAGGAGGAGCTTGATCTGACCAGCACTTTTGTATCGAAAGCTCGTCTCAAGGTGGGCTCCAAGCCCCCCCACTGCCGCTGCCGAGAAAGGAGAAGGCGGCCCAGCCGGACAGAAAGGAGCCAGAGGTGAAAGAGCAGGCGCAGGTGAGGACAGGTTTAGGAGTGGTTGTTTTTCATAGAATCATAGAGTTGGAAGGGATCCCCAAGGGTCATCTAGCCCAACCCCTGCAGGGCCAGAATCCCTGACAGGTGACCATCTAACTGCAGTTTGGAAAACTACAGCAAAAGAGAGTCCCCCACCTTCTGCAGGTCATCTAGTCCAAACCCCTGCAATCCAGTTACTTCCAACTTTTGGTTGGGGTCTCCTTTATTGACATTTGAATCCATTGGTTTGGGTCCCGCCCTCTGGAGCAGCAGAAAGCAAGCTTGCCCCATTGAAGCTAATGGACGTGACTTACTTGGGTTGATTAATTGCACTGGCTTCCCGAAGAGTATGGGGTCAGGTTCAAGGTGCTGGCCTTGACCTTTAAAACCCTTTGTGGCTTAGGGCCATTATATTTACGGGACCTCCTTTCCTGGTCTGCCCCGCAGAGGACCCTAACGTCCATGAATAACCATAGTTTAGAGGTCCCGGGCCCTAAGGAAGTCAGACTATCCTCCACCAGGGCCTTCTCAGTGATGGCTCCAACCTGGTGGAATCCTCTGTCCCATGAGACCAGGGCCCTTCAGGATTTAACTTCCTTCCGCTGAGTGTGGTGTAGTGGTTAAGAGCGGTGGACTCGTAATCTGGTGAACTGGGTTCGCGTCTCCGCTCCTCCACCTGCAGCTGCCGGGTGACCTTGGGCCAGTCACACTTCTCTGAAGTCTCTCAGCCCCACTCACCTCACAGAGTGTTTGTTGTGGGGAGGATGGGAAAGGAGAATGTGAGCCACTTTGAGACTCCTTAGGGTAGTGATAAAGCAGGATATCAAATCCAAACTCCTCTTCTTCTTCTGCTAGGCCTGTAAGACAGAACTATTCCGCCTGGCCTTTAATTTGAATTCAGCCTGATCTTTTATTTCCCTTCTCTTCTCTTCTCTTCCCTCCCCCTCCCCTTTAATGAAGATCACCCATTCTAAGACCCCACAGCCAATTCTTCCCTGGCCTCCTCGCTGGCCTAAGTAGGACCAATTCAGCCAGCTAGCCCTGGGGATTATCTAATGCTTATTAGATGGATTTCCCCTAAATTGATTTCTGAACTTTGAATTTTATTGTTATTCATGTTTTTATACTGTATTTTATGCTGCTTTTACAACTAAGTGTTTTAAATTGGTTGTTAGCCGCCCTGAGCCCGGTTTTTAAACCGGGAAGGGCGGGGTATAATTAAAAAGTTGTTGTTATTATTATTATTATTATTATTATTATTATTATTATTATTTATTAGATCTGCTCTAACTTAAGTTGAACACGGCCCATTGCTCTCTGTCCCCTAAGCTGTGCAAATTAGGAATCCTCATCACTCGTGGGCACTTCTGATTAGAATTCTGGTTCTGCAGAAGATTCAGAACAGGGCAGGTGGGGGAATCGTGGCCTTGGTTTTTTGGCCACTGATCACGGTCTTCCTCTCATGCAGAATTACAGGAGCCCCTGACCCCGTTCCTTGCTGCTTCTTCCAGGTTCCGAAGTCTGGGCTCCAGATGACTCCGGTGGAGCAGAGCATGGTGCTGGCAGGTGTGTGTTGGCCCGGGAATGCTGTCACTCTGCCCCCTGCCTCCCTTTTCAGAGGTGCTGAGCAGGCGCGCTTAGCCTTCAGAGGGCAAAGCCTTGGACCCGGGTCCTCAGCAAGCTCCCTTCCTGTGATGGCCTTTTCTTCTTGCTTCTTGCATGACCCTAAAAGATTGCGGCAACGAGACTGCCAAGCAGGGGGGCTACCAGGAGGCCGTGCTCCTCTTCACAGAAGCCGTCAAGCTCAACCCGCGGGAATACAGGTGAGCCCCGGGGCAGGTGAGGTCCCCTCCCTTGAGCGTGGCTGGGGGAGCTGTGCCAGAGTCCCCTGCCCTTCTGTACAGCGGGAGGGGGGTGTCTGGGAGCCTCTGGGGATCTGGCAGGATCAGGTGCAGGATCTGGAGAACCACTTCCCTGGAGTCTCCCCAGGACCATTAAGCTGGCTGAGTAGAAAGCTGCCCCCGAGCCCTGGGACCGCCCACTACCTGACTCCAGGTAAGGACAGGTGTTCTGTGTGCAGAAGGTTCCGGGTTCAAACTGCGGCGTCTCAAAGCAGGGCTTGCGGGAGGCCCTTCTCTGAATCCCTGGAGAGCTATGGCAGATTGAGACAGATGGAACAGTGAGCAGGCCCTGAATAAGGATCAAGCCGCTGTTTTGCCTGGCCCACGGCCAGCCAGATGCCTGCTGGAAGCAGGATTCGCACCCAAGAGCAACTCTTCCTTCCTTCGGTTTCCAGCAGCTGATTTTCAGAGGCATTGCAGCCTCTGCCTGCGGAGGAGGAGCCTAGCTGTCGTCGCCACTGGCCCTCGATCACTCTCCTCCAACCTTTTGTTAAAGCAACCTAAGTTGGAGGCTTTCTCTGCCTCCTGCGGGAGCCAGTTCTGTAGTTTCTGTGCTGCTTAGACTTCCTTTTCTCCAGCTTTTGGCTTCCTTGGATGCCCACGAGTTCACCCTCTCCCTCGCCCTTCCGCCAGGTTCTTTGGGAATCGCTCCTTCTGCTACGAGAGGCTGCGCTGCTACGCGGAGGCTCTGCGGGACGCCCAGGTGGCCCTCAGCCTGCACCCCGGCTGGCCCAAAGGCCTCTTCCGCAAGGGCAAGGCCCTCATGGGCCTCAAGGTAGGGGCGAAATGGGTGGGGCAAGGCTGAGAGGGTGGCCTCCTGCGTCCCCGGTGAGGCTGGATAGCGACGGTTCTTCTTCCCTCCCACCAGCGTTACGCAGAGGCCGTGAGGACCTTTGAGGAGCTCCTGCACTTTGACGGCTTCCGTGGAGACGCCGCCGTCCAGCTGGAGAAGTGCCGGGTTCAGCTTCTGCTGGTGAGCTGAGCTGGAGGCCAAGTCCTCCGTGCCCTTAAGGAGAGGGCGCACAGAGCTGCAGCCTGGCTTGGGGCCGCCAGGATCCAGGAGTGAAGCTCGGCAGGGATAGTTTGCACAGGTCAGGGCATCTGTGGGGATCGGGCGAAGGAAGCCACCTGAGAAAGAAGGGGGTCTCAGTGGGGTGGAGAGCAGTGCTAGGCACGTTCTGCCACTTGCGTGGACCCCATTGTGACACTGGATATTTCTGGGCATCAGGAAGAACTTTCTGAGGGTAAGAGCTGTTTGACAGTGGAAGGGTCTCCCTCGGAAGTTGTGGACTCTCCTTCTCTGGAGGAATCTCAGCTAGAGATTCCTACATTGGAGGGGATTGAACGAGATGACTCAGGGTCCCTTCCAGCTTTGCCATGCTATGATTTTATCTACATGGTGCCTAGGGAACAACTTGCACCTTAATATCAGCAAGACAAAGGAGATGGTGATGGACTTTCGGAGGAAGAGAGGAGAACTAGCCCCGCTGTACATCGGGGAGGGCTGTGTGGAGAGAGTCTCTTCCTTTAAATTCCTAGGGGTTTATCTCAGTGAAGACCTTACTTGGAAAATAAATACAACCCAGGTGGTTAAGAAAGCCCAACAGAGACTCCATCTCCTCAGAGTATTGCGGAAGAACGATGTCAATCAACATTTGATGATCTCCTTCTACCGGTCCACAATAGAAAGTGTCCTTTCATACTGCATCATGGTGTGGGACGCTGGTTTGACATCATCTGATAGGAAGTGCCTACAGAGGGTGGTGAATACAGCGTAAGATATTATGGGCTGTCCCGTGAATCCGCTGGATGACATCACGGAAGAACGTTGCCTCAGGAGAGTGAGGAAAATTCTCAGGGATGATTCACACCCTGTGTGACAATAAAGTGACAATAAAGTACAGTGGTGCCTCGCAAGACGAAATTAATTCGTTCCGCAAGTTTTTTCTTCTTGCGAGTTTTTCGTCTTGCGATGCACGGTTTCCCATAGGAATGCATTGAAAATCAATTAATGCGTTCCTAGGGAAACCGACTTCAGACCAGGTCCGGGGACAGTCTGTCCCCCGACCTCTTCTGAAGGCTGGGGGGGGGACAAGGGCTTTTCTTCCCACCCCCAGCATTTTAAGAAACCCCGGGACAGCGGAGGGCTTCTCCGCTGTCCGGGGCGATCTTAAAATGCTGGCGGGCAGCATTTTAAAATCGCCCCGGGACAGCGGAGGACTTCTCCGCTGTCCGGGGCGATTTAAAAGCCCCTGGGAAGGCAGGCAGGGGGGACAAAGACTTTTGCCCCCCGCCAGCCTTCAGAAGAGGTCCAGGACCTCTTCTGAAGGCTGGCGGGGGCGAAAGTCTTTGCTCCCCCCGCCTGCCTTCAAAAGCTGTCCGGCCAAAGCTTCGCGGACCTCTGCCGGCATGCCGAAGCCTGCGCACGCTAACATCAGCGCGCCCAGGCTTCACGGACCGCTCCGCCAGCAGCGGCAGCGTTGCCGCTGCTGGCGGACCTCTGCCGGCATGCCGAAGCCTGCGCGCGCTGACATCAGCGCGCCCAGGCTTCGCGGACCGCTCCGCCAGCAGCGGCAGGGTTGCCGCTGCTGGCGGAGACTTGCCGGCATGCGGAAGCCTGCGTGCGCTGACATCAGGGCGCCCAGGCTTCGCGGACCGCTCCACCAGCAGCGGCAACGCTGCTGCTGCTGGCGGAGACTTGCCGGCATGCCGAAGCCTGCGCGCGCTGACATCAGCGCGCCCAGGCTTCGCGGACCGCTCCGCCAGCAGCGGCAGGGTTGCCGCTGCTGGCGGAGACTTGCCGGCATGCTGAAGCCTGCGCGCGCTGACATCAGCGCGCCCAGGCTTCGCGGACCGCTCCTGCCTTCAAAAGCCGTCCGCGATAGCGGGAAGCGCTTCCCTGCTATCCCGGACTGCTTTTAAAATGCTGGCGCTGGGGAGCAAAGCCTTTCGGCCCCCGCCAGCCTTCCTGGTCCTCTTCTGAAGGCCAGAGGGGGGGGGGAAAGGCTTTGCTCCCCACCGCCAGCATTTAAAAGAGGTCCCCGGAGATTTCCCTATGGGCTTTCGTCTTGCGAAGCAAGCCCATAGGGAAATTCGTTTTGCGAAGCGCCTCCAAAACGGAAAACCCTTTCGTCTAGCGGGTTTTCCGTCTTGCGAGGCGTTCGTCTTGCGGGGCACCACTGTATTTCAATTTCAATTTTGTTAACCACCAAAATATCAAAACACGGTAGCATGTGTAACACTGATGCCTCACAACAAATGAAACCGATCTGTAGAAAACACAACTTGAAAAAAGAGACAACGCATGTATTTTTGTAAACTCAGATACCCTTAATAAAAATACATTTTAAAAACAAACACTGTGGTAGCTTACAAATAAAGCAAACGATATTTTTCTTTGGACAGGAAAATGGTTTTGGCTCCTACCCTCCCGAGTGGAACGTCCGTGCCAGAGAATCCTCCTTGCCCCGGGCTGGTAAGAGGGCTCTCAGTGGGGCAGCTCCTTCACATGACAGAAACCCGGTGGCGATTGTGGGGGGCCGCCAGGGGCAGGGATCGCAAGCAGCCCATGGGCTGGCAGCCCCCGGCGCGTGAGGGGTGGGGCGTTGAGCCTGCTGGTCCTAATGCATTGCTCCCTCCTCCTCCTCTCTTCCTCCCCCCTCCTCTCCTCCCGCTTCCTTCTTGGCAAGGTGAGCAGCCAGGTGGGCATTCCGTCAGAAGCATCTCCCAGGCCAGAGGGCACCTGGCACCTCTCACCATCACCAGCTCTCAGGGCAAAGGGATGCTGCCATTGGCTGCGCAGGCCCCAGTCAGGTAAGGCCACGGGGGTGGGGTGGGAGGGAGGTCTCAGGACTGTGGCTGTGGGGAGAGGCTGGGCTTTCACCCAACCCGAGGGCACGCTGCATTCCCCAGAACATTTGTACCCTGTTGGGATACTGCCGGGCAGACGGGGGCATCAGGCAGGCCCCTAGCTCGCTCCAGACGATCACCGGTCTCCCGTGGAACAGCATCAGTCAGTCAGCGACACGAGGCTCAGATACGTTTGGAGACCCGTGCACGCTCTATCAGCAGAGTGAGTGAATCTTCTCACAGTAGAAGAGGCGGACAGAGAGATGTGCAAGCAAAATGAACAGCATTTTATTCAGCATAGCTCAGGAACAAAGGAAAACATGTCTGCTTGCCTTCGTGTCCAGCAAAACAGCAGTACAGTCATACCTCAGGTTGAATGTGCTTCGGGATGAGCGCGTTTGAGTTGCGCTCCGTGGCAACCCGGGAGTAACAGAGCATGTTACTTCCAGGTTTCGCCACTTGCACATGCACAGACGCTCAAAATGACGTCACGCATGCGCAGAAGTGGCGAAAAGCGACGTGTGCATGCGCAGACGTGCCATCGCTAGTTACGTTTGCTTCTAGATGTGAACAGGGCTCCGGAATGGATCCCGTTCGCATCTAGAGGTACCACCTCGGGTTATGTATTTGATTCATTCCGGAGGTCTGTTCTTAACCTGAAACTGTTCTTAACCTGAAGCACCACTTTAGCTAATGGGGCCTCCAGCTGCTGCGCCACCACTGGAGCATGATTTCTGTTCTCATCCTGTTCTTAACCTGAAGCACTATTTCTGGGTTAGCGGAGTCTGTAACCTGAAGCGTATGTAACCCGAGGTACCACTGTATAGCAAAAGCAACATACAACGGAAGTTCCCAGCAGACAGTGCTGGAAGTAAACAGGCATGTGATACCCCACAGCCATGCCTGACCCTTTTAAGGTGGAATGGAACTATATCCTAACATACCCCACCTTCTTTCCTCCAAGGGGGTGTTGGTTCTCGTCCCCATTTTATCCTCCCCACAGCCCTGTGAGGTAGGTGAGGCTGAGAGCGAACGTCTGGCCTCCAGGGAGCTCAATGGCTGAGTGGGGATTTGAACCCTGCTCTCTCCCTGGTCCCAGTCCAGCACTCTGACCACATGGACACTGTGAGGCCAGGCTCCTTTGATGCCGCTCCTGCATTCCAGGCCCTTTTGTGACTGCAGCATCCAGACAGTCTCTGAGAGCAGGGGCTGAGCGCCTACAAAATCAGCCTAGTGTGCAAAGGTTAAAAACTAGATGTTTTTGTATGTGTTATAAAATGAAATCAAAAGAACTTTACAAAAAAAATATTCTTTGGCACTCTGCTCAGCTTTGCCTGTGGCCCCATCCACGACCAGCTTGTGGCCCTCAGAAGGTTGCCTCGAAAGCAGTGCGGCCCTGTCGTGGTTTTGCTCCGTGATGATCCAGAGCAAGTCACAATACTTAGTTAGCAGAGTAAACAAAGCTTAAACTCAATGCAGCTTTGACCCAGTATTCCTGAAGGAGCATCTCCACCCCTATTGTTCAGTCCAGAATTGTTCAGTCCAGCTCCAAGGGTCCTTTGGCGCTTCCCTCCATGCAAGAAGCCGAGGTTACAGGGAACCAGGCAGAGGGCCTTCTCTGTGGTGGCGCCCACCCTGTGGAACGCCCTCCCATCAGATGTCAAGGAAATAAACAACTACCTGACTTTTAGAAGACATCTGAAGGCAGCCCTGTTTAGGGATGCTTTTAATGTCTGATGTTTTATCGCTTTATTATTATTATTATTATTATTATTATTATTATTATTATTATCATCATTAATTCTGTTGAGAGCTGCCCAGAGTGGCTGGGGAAACCCAGCCAGATGGGCGGGGTATAAATTATTAGTATTATTACTATTATTAATGCAGGGTTCTCCAAATAGAGCAGACTCAGTCAGCTTCATCCAGTATTATTTTTTTAAGGCAAATGAGCATAACAGTTCACGAATCCAACTCTTCTTTGACTTAAATTTACAATAAGACTAAAAACTTAGCACTTAAACATGCTGTATTCTGAACAGATCACCACAGAGGAAACAAAGTACAGTGGTGCCTCGCAAGACGAAAATAATCCATTCCGTGAGTCTCTTCGTCTAGCGGTTTTTTCATCTTGCGAAGCAACCCTATTAGCGGCTTAGCGGCTATTAAAGGCTTAGCGGCTAAAAGGCTATTAGTGGCTTAGCGGCTTAGAAAAAGGGGGGGGAAGCGAAAAAAAATCGCAAGACGAAGCAAGCCCATAGGGAAAATCGTCTTGCGAAGCAACTCAAAAACGGAAAACCCTTTCATCTAGCGGGTTTTTCGTCTTGTGGGGCACCACTGTAGAGAGAAGCAAGAAGGAAAGAGAAAGTGAATCCCAGTCTCCTCCTCCTGGGCTGCTATTCTAGGAAGTGTGACCTTGGGAGAAAGAGATGAGCTTAACTCCGCTTCTCTGAAGGCCTAACCCCAATCAGGAACCTTCTGCTTGTTTCCAGGCAGAATGGAAACTTCCAGCTTGTATCACACACAGAAAGTTCCAGAACCTTCTTGAATCAAATAGAATAGAAAAGACCTTGACACTTTAAACCAGTACTTTCTGTCCTTCAAAAATGCCGACCCTGACATGAGCTGGAAGGAGTTCCCTCCCTGCTTTGGCCTTGGCCGCTTGCTCAGGCTGCCCAAGAAGGTGGACAGGGGCCGGGTCCCGGCTGCCTCCTGCCTGGGCGGCCTTTGGGCTTGCCTACTCCTGGCTGCCACGTCCGTTGCCACAGTGAGCAGGTGGGGAGGAGCCTGGGGGCTCCGCAGGGAGTTGCCCCCGATGGGCTTGGGTGGGGCGAGGTCCAAGCGAGCTGTGGGTCAGGACGGAGGGAGCAGGACGAGCCGGGGGGAGCCACAAGCAAGCTGAGCGTCCCCTGGCCCCCCTGGCGGCTGTGGGTGACGATGTGCTCTTCTCCCAGGGAGAGGTTTCCCGTGTGGGTGGGGAACCTGACGCCCGCCATCACCCAGGAGGTCCTGCTGTGCTACTTCCAGCCGTGAGTATGCCCCTCCTTCCGCCCTCCCCTGGCTCCTCGGGGCCTCAGCTGACCCAAACCAGGAAGGGAGCCTTGCTTCCGAAAGCCCCAAATCCTCCATCGCTTGGAGTCCGGCCGGCTTGGCTGACACCGACTGTCCTTGGGCCGCAGGTTTGGGCCCATTGACTCCATCCGCTGCCTCCCGCGAAGGTTCTGCGCCTTCGTCAACTACACCTGCCGGGAAGCGGCCGAGGAAGCCTATGTGGCGTTGCAGGTGAGGAGGTCCCCCCCGTCCTTAAGGGGGGAGAGCATTGCTTTCTCCTGCCCCCCCCCCAGCTGTGGCCACAAAGGGTCTTCTGTGTTTCCCTCCCAGGGCGTGGAAGTCAGAGGCTGCCACCTCGTCCTGCAGCTGAAGCACCCGGTACACGCCACTCCTCCCCTTGCCAAGGCACCCGGAGCGCCTCCGAAGCGGTAGGCAGCAGGTGGGCAGGTGCCTGTTGCGGACATGAAGAGCAGACGGCCGTTTCAGGCTGGCGTAAGGGATGTTGAGGCCTTCCTGCTGCCTCTCCCCCAGGGCCCCTCTCCCTCTGCGGGGCTTTGGGCGCGGAAGGAGGGGTGCAAAAAGGGAGCTGGCAACATGGGCAGGATGCCCTGCCGTCCCCTGATGGGGCTTGCGAGGGCAAAGAGGGGTGCTAGTGGGAGCAGTGTCACTCCAAGAAGCAGCAACCCCTCTCCCGGCTCCTCTTCCTCCAGGGAGATTCCTCTGGGCTCCCCCGCCTTCCTGAGCTCCTCCTGGCTCCGCCGCCTCGGCCACCTCCCTCAGTGAAACACCTCGGCGGAGAAGTTGCTGTGCTTGCAAGCCGACATCCCGGCTGGGCCCCTCGCGGCTGAAGATGCGGAAGATGTGGGGACAGGCCTGTGGGCTGCACCCTTCCTGCGGGTCGGGGGGGGGGACTGGTGGTGGAGGACACAAGCGCAGTTGCCTGTGGGAGCCCCCCAGGCATGTGGGACTGTTGGGTGGGCTGTGGCCTCTGCCTTCTCCAAGGCTGCCCCTGGCCATTTGATCTCCCTCAGGGAAACTGAGGCCGAGGACTGGGGCGGTTGGGGGGGGGGCTCTGCCCTCCTGTTGCTCCTGGGAGCCCTCCCTTCTCCAAAGCAGGTATCTGCCCCCACCGGGTGTGGAATGATGCACCTGCAGTGGGGCAGGCAGCTGCCTCTTCAGCCCCCCCCCAACTCTACTGCCTCTGTGGGGCTTAAGTCCTCTTCTGCTTCGGTTCCTTTGAGCCCTGCCCCTCCCTGAACCCCATGCACTGGGTCCTGGTGAGAATGGGGAGGGCAGGAAGTTGTCTGTGTGTGGGTCCCCCTGCCTGAGGGTGTGGGGCTGGTGTTGCTGGTGGGTGGCCTTGGGGTGCCCCCTCGTTTGTGGGGCCCAGAAGGCAGGAGCGTTCTCCCCCTGCCCTTTTGGTTCTGCTCCGTGTGTTCAGGGATTTGTGCCTGCCACGTGGTTTTTACACTGTTCACAATAAACTCGTTAAAAGCCGGCCGGTTCCTTTCGTAAGAGGCGCACTCGTGAGAGAGGGCTGCTCATTCTGCCAGAATCTGAGCCCGATGAATTCAGGGCTTTGCCGCAAAGGGAGCACGAGCGGCTGGGGGTGTGAGGCCAACCCTGCCCCCCTTGGCACACCTTTCCCCTCTCTCTGGGCTGCTCCCCGTCAATGGAGGCCCACTCCCGCCCTCGTCTCCGTGGTCTCCGTGAGAGACCATAGCTGTCAACCTTCCCTTTCTTTGCGGGAAATTCCCTTATTCCAGCGCCGTTTCCCGCTGCTTTCCGCTGCTATCTCAGATTGTTAGATATCCCGTAGACTGTCCCTGGGACTGGTGAGGCTGCTGATCCCTTATTTTCAAATCTGAAAGTTGACAGCTATGGGAGAGATCATGGCCGGGTTTCTGTGTGCTTAGGCAAGCCTCCCTCCTCAACTCCCTTCACCCCACAAGCCGAACATGGTCTGGGGCTCGCCTTGCCGCTTCCCCCAATATCTCTCCCTGCTGCCCCAATCCTGGCCTCTCCTCTGGTCCCCCCACTGACCCTCCTCCTGCTGCTTTGACCCCATCAGCTTCAAGGTCTTGTGCTTGGAGCTCTCTCTGGTCTGAAGTTCTGCTCTTCCTTTACTCTCCCCATCTTGCTCCTTCCTCTCCCCGATCTTCCTCCCCCTCTGCCAAGGGAGCCTCTCCTTGCCCTTGCGTCTAAGGCTGGCTTCCAACGTATAATATCCCACCACGTAATCCAAGGAGCTCAAGGCGCCACATGCGGCCCGCCCTCCCTATTTTGCTCTCACAACCCCCCTGCAAGGTAGGGCAGCTCAGGGTGAGCAGCTTCAAGGCCAAAGGCAGCGGGGGGAACGGAACCCATGTTTCCCATGTCCTCCTCATCTGTTGCCCCAACTCCTGTGCCACAGGGCAAGGACCACAGTTTGCTGGTTCATCCCTTGGCATCTCCAGGTAGACTTGGCAGAGACTCCTTGCCTGAAACCCTGGAAGTCTTCTGCCACTCAAACTAGACCAAGTGAGATGCTCAGACTTGGCCTAAGGCAGCTTCCTGGGCTCACCTGCAGCACCTGCCACGCGGCTGGGTCCTGAGGAGGGTGCTGGGCCCCTTTGCTCTCCCTCCCTTGTGGGTCATCTTTAGTAGAAGTATTTTGCTCGGGGCGCAACTGCCCCCGGCTGGAGGGTCCCCACCCCGTCCTGCTGCCACTGGTTTGCTTTGGACCCCTCTGGCTCGACAGACACCGCTCCCCCTTTGGGACCCATAAGCGTGAGTCTTGCCAGCCTTGTGCTGAAAGAGCAGCCGGCGCAGCTGCCCCGTTTTAGGGAGCCGCTTGCTGCCCCCCGGCTGGGCACTGCCACAGTTGGGAGTTCTCTCTCTTTGAGTCTGGCAGCTGCGGCCACTTCTGCCTCTTCCTGCTTTTCCCACCCCCAATTTCATGGGGCTCCGTTTCAGGTGCTTGTGGGTTTCCGTTCCCAGGGCAGGAATCCCCGGCAGCTGCAGAAATATGAACAGCCCAGCGCCCTTTGAAGCCACCGGGCCGCTCTCTCTCCCCCGCTTAGAGCGCCTGGTTTCCTGGCATGCTTTGGAGAGGCTGGCACAGCTGGGGGCGCAGGGCGGCGTCCTGGCTAGCCCCAAGGGGCAGGCGGAGAGGGTGCCTGAGGCGGTGCCCCGTGCCCAGGGGCATGGCAACAGAGGGGCAGCCGGGGAGCATGTTTGCTCCTGGGTAGGGCAGTGATCCTGGCTCACACACCAGTCACGGAGCTGCCCAAGAGGGCAGGAGCTCACAGGAACTCTTGGGTGCTCTCAGGGGGCAGACTTCTCCCTGGTTCCATCAGCTGAGACCAAGGAATGCTGCTGTCTTGGGGAGCGTATGCCGCTCACCTTAAATTTTAAAATTATTATTCCTTGAAATTTATGCATTGCATAAATTGGTGTTTTTTTTAAAAAACAGCACTTTACAAAAAGTGCTTGGCAGGGGGTTGGACTCGATGGCCCTTGTGGTCTATTCCAACTCTATGATTCTATGAAAAACGATAAAATTATCAAAAAGAAAAATTAGGAAGTCATTTAAAGCTTTCAAAAAGTTAAAATAGGCTGAAAACATTCAAACAGTTGGGTAGGCTAGGAGCGGGAAAGGGGCGCCTGCCTGTTTCAAGAGGCAGGGAGTTCCAAAGTGCAGGTTCTTGCAAAAGTGGATCAGCTGTTCTGTGTCACCTGGGGCAGCGCTGGATCCTCTGAAGGAAGTGGTCGAGGGGGTGTCTTCTAGGGGGGCGGAGTGAGCTGATTTTGCCGGCAGAATTTCGACAGCCCTCCATTCCTCGAAGCTGCGCCTCTGAGCTTTCTGGGCCGTCGTTCCTCTTCCTCCTCGCCTTCCCCAGATCGGTGCCTTCCAGCTATTTGGAGCTACCTCCGCCGCCCTAAGCTCCTCGGAGGAATAGGGGGGCTACAAAGGCCATCAATCAATCAGACGACATCTCCCATCAGCCTCGGCCAACTGGGCTCCGTGCGCTGGGAAGGCGGCGCTTCCTCCCTGGGGCAGCCGGGGGCGCGCTCCTCTCCGGCCAGTCGCCCTGCGGAGCGCGCTTTCTTCCCACGGGACGCGCACTCTGCATGCGCTCAGCGGCCCCGCAGCGCATGCCTCTGGGAATGCGCGCCTTGCCGCCTCCACTCCTCCTCCTGGAGGCGCCGGGCGGGGGGAGCGAAGGAAGGGCCCCCGCCCCGTCGAAGTCGGCCTCGTACGCCCCTCGGGACCCGCTCCCGGTCCCAACGGCGGCTCCCCCGAGGGGGCGGCCCGGAGTCTCGGGGCGAGAAGACCAAATTCCCGGCAAGGGTTGCAGCCAGGCGCCCGGGGAGATTCATTTCGCCCGGCTCTCCGTGCGCCCCGTCGGGTTGCCCTGCAAAGAGCGAGGGGAGCCTCTTCGGTCCTCCTCCTCCAGGGGCTCAGTTTCGGGGGCGGGGTCCCTCAAATCCATAGCTTTGGACTCAGCACAGAAGGAGCCCCAAACTCTGTCCTCCTCGGGGTTCTTCTTGCTTTTCCTCCGCCAGGTTCCTCCCCGACGGCCGTCGTCAGTCCAGGTCCCGGGGACTGGCGCTTGGACGGGGCGGGGAGGGGCCGCCTTTGCCTCCCGCTAGCCCCCCCCCCTCCTCGCCTGTCAGGCCATCAAAGGCAGATTTGATTAATATGCAAATGTTTGGTGGCAGGAGGGGAGGAGATGGACGCGGGAGAGGAAGAGTAATTAATCACTACTTAAAGGAAATTAAGACCAACAGCGGCGAGTGTCAGGAAACAGGCGCGGAGCTAATCAAGCGGCAAATTGGACAAGGGAAGGGGGGGGGGGTCGTGGACGGGGCGGGTCGCCCTTCGCCGCGGGATCCCCGTCACGGGGAGAGGGGCCTGTCGGGGGAGGGGGCTCTGCCAAAGGCGACTAGATGACCTTTGGGTTCCCTTCCAGCTCTGCGGTTCTAGGATTCCTTGACCAGCTTCTCCTCATCTTCCTCCTCTGCAACCTGGTGGGATAGGAACCCGGAGATCATGGCCCGGTCGCGGTTCCTCCTTCCTGCCTGGTGGCGATGTGGCTCTCTGCACACACCCAGAGGCACTCTTTCCATCTCATGCGCTGCTGGCGACTGGTTGGTTTCCACAAGGTGCGCTTGCATTTAGGGAAGGAGGAGAGCGGTGTAGGCAATGGCTCCGGAAGGGAGCCGGAGGAGCTGCCCCACGGAGGCACCCCCTGCTCATCCACGGGCTCCGCTCTGGGGCCAGCCAGATTTATATGCCGCCCTTCGTCATGAGAACACAGGGCTGTTCACAAAGTAAAATACAGGATAAAAACACGAAAACAACTAAAACGAAACAGCAAATCACAAAGACCCACTCCTTCACATAGACACCTCTAAAAGGATGTAGAATATATATATAATATTAAAATATATTATGAGGGCACAGAGCAAACAACTAATATGAAACATCAAAACACGAACACACGCTCCTTCCCAAAGACACATTTAAAAGGATGTAGAATATATAGGTAAAGGTAAAGGGACCCCTGACCATTAGGTCCAGTCGTGGCCGACTCTGGGGTTGCGGCGCTCATCTCGCTTTATTGGCCGAGGGAACCGGCGTACAGCTTCTGGGTCATGGGTCCAGCATGACTGAGCCACTTCTGGCTAACCAGAGCAGCGCACGGAAATTACCTTCCTGCTGGAACGGTACCTATTTATCTATTTGCACTTTGACGTGGTTTCGAACTGCTAGGTTGGCAGGAGCAGGGACCAAGCAACGGGAGCTCACCCCGTCACGGGGATTCGAACCGCCGACCTTCTGATCAGAAAGCCCTAGGCTCTGTGGTTTAACCCACAGCGCCACCCGCGTCCCTTCATAGAATATATATATAATATTAAAATATATAATGAGGGCACAGAGCAAACAACTAAAACAAAACATCAAAACACGAACACACGCTCCTTCCCGGAGACACATTTAAAAGGATGTTGAATATATATAATATTAAAATATATAATGAGGGCGCAGGGCAAATCTCCCTGGGGAGAGCACTTCCACAAGCAGGGGGCCATTGCAGAAAAGGCCCTGTTCTCGTGTGGCCACCCTCTGGACCTCGTGGAAGATGCAGGAGGATGATCTCTGGGTAGGTTCATATGGGGAAAGGCGGGCCTTGAGGTATTGCGGTCCTGGGCCGCTTTAGGCTATGGAGATTATGGCCTTGATTATGGAGAAGCAGCCAACAGCTGGTCCGCCTCCCGACCCCATCCTAGGCCACGGACCCTGCTTAAGGGTCTTTGAGGGCAGGCAGGGGCTCCCCGTCTGGTTAGCTGCCTAAGGCCCCACCTGCCCTACTCATTTAACGCAGTATTGAAACTCCCCCCAGAGAGCCTGCAGATGTGTCATTTTCTCAAGGTGCTGAGAGTCGTTCGTTCTCCTCCAAGTACCACAATTCCCAGAGCAGTGAAATAATCTGTTTCCAGGAAACTCTGGGA